TCTACTCTCTTTCACTTTTTCCTGCTCTCTCTCTCTCTCTCATGCACACACATACACAAATAAAACTCTGATACATCCCAGACACTGACAGTATAATCTCAATGTGCATGATGTTGACAGGAGCGGAAACAGTTTTTGCTCTGCTCTCTCTCTCCTCCATAAACTATACCTTGTTGGTTATTTGTCCCTGTATAGCACACACTACACTGCCAGGAGTCTTTCTGTGCCCTCTGAGCTTTGATAAGGCTCACATCTTCTGTAACTGTACACACGCACAGTATTGCATGAATTCATGCTTCGTGTGAGAGTGTATTTATTTTTATGCCTGGGTGTGTGTGTGTCTATAAATGTATACAGAGTACCTAGTCTAGCTTGTAGTTAAAGTGAAGGCGTTAAGCCGATGAAAGCTTTCTCTTCCGTTGAGCCTCTAAGTGAACATTACACTCATACATTCTATACATGCTCCAGCAGACCGATTACATCCTGCCTGAAAAGAACTTCACCAAACATTTCTGAGATTGTCTGGTCTGTGGAAGCTTCCAGCTGTTAGTGCATTTATCTTGGAAGCTTGGAAATGATTCTGGTTGTCTTGTCATGCACGTCTGACACACAGCAGGAAGACATTTCCTGGAGGGAGGCCTTTTTATCCGACCCATCTTCTTTCTACACTCTCCTTTGCTCTCTGCATAGTCATGAGCTTATCCTAACTGTTTTTAAACTCCATCAACCTTTCGAAGTTGTGGTAGTTGAGTGTCCTGTTTCTACAATTTATGGACTCACCATCCTGCTCCAGTTATTGCAGCCTTTTAGCACATCAGCAACTTCAGCAGTCTGCAGATCTACACATGCAAATTGATCTTACAAATAAAGGGGACATAATATCTGTTCAGTGGTTTGAAATGGTCATTATATTATGTTATGGGAAGTAAAGGTATAAGATTACAAAGGCTACAGGTTAAACTAATTTCAGTCATCTAGCTCACATGGAATAGATAATTATTTGAATGAACAGCACTGATATTTGGCATGCAGGCTCTGACCTTGTTACTCAGTGACTAAGCTTAGCATGGGCAGGGACTGAGG